CCAAAACCCCAAAACCCCAAAACCCCAAAACCCCACTACTATATCTTGGGGTTGACTATACAAATTTTATTAATAATGGAAACCTGTTCATTCAAAAAGCTGCTCGATAAGGAGAGTGCACCTATACGAGGACACATCAGCAAGTTATTGTTCACAACTTTGGCTGATGTGAAGAACATCTTGCCGTACTATGGGTTTGCAGATGAATGCAAAGTCTTATTGTAATATAATAACTCAGCTAAGATCTCAATCAAGGCTGCTCTGGAGCGAAAATGAAAATAACTTTCTTACTGCCATTATAGATGAACGTGGAGTTGAGTTGTTTCGCCTCCATAAAAGCAAACTATGAATCAGAAATTTAGCAATAATTTCAGAGGAAACAAAAGAACCACTCGGAATTTCTGAGCTGAAAAGACTAGCGAGTTCTCAAGACTATAAGCTGTTCCATTTGGCCTTTTATTTCCAATACTTTGAAGCTATTGATGGGCTTAAAGCTCTTATTGATTTCCTCGAAAAGATCGACCTCAAAGCCCTGTCAATCTCTAAGATTTGCTCTAGTTTTGAAGAATACTATGAATATGATGAATATTCTGATGGCGAAGATTCTGATGGAATCCTAACATATCAGCAGAAGCAACTAGACCTCTTATCCAAAGTTGCTACTCTATTGGGCAAAGAAGTGGTGAAAGTCCAAGAGGGTGGGCTAACATGCTTCAAATTCCCAAAGCCTTTTGACATTATAAGTGATGAACCTATTCAACCTATTGATGGAGCAGAAGACTTAGCAATATGCGGAAATAATTTTGATGAAAACATCTCTATTGAGGAGAAATTCCTCTCAAAGTTACAGTCTGATAATTATTTATCTTTCGAAGAACTTTGTGATTATTATAACCAAGCTTTAGAAGTCATGACCCCTCGAGCTTTGTTTCACAAACTTGAGGACTGCGGATTAAGAATTATACTGCCCGAGGTTAAAAACAGTGATGAAGCTTTAGCTTTTGACAAAATCAAGAAATTCTTCACACAATTATTCGAAAAGGTCAAGAATAATGAGAGTTCTCAGGAAAGGAAAGATCTGAAACTGCCTAAAGTCGATCTAGCGTATTTATTTGAGCAGGAGTACATTGAATATGAAGAAAAATTGAAAGCTCTAGAATTCACATCAAGTTGCTTTCATTCCATTCAAAATATTTGAGTTGTCAAATCTCTGTACATCAACAATAACACTCTACCTCCCTAGAATAGGGATCGATGGAGAAACTTGATATATAGGCTTTCGGGATAAAGAGTGTAAGGAGTACAAGGATATTAAAGTTCCGCTTTGCTAGATAGATGTGATTAAATAGTAAATAGCACAAACTAAATCATACTGGTTTTCCCATCACTTCTCCTTTGAAATATGGCATTGCATGGTCATAGGATCTTTATCTATTCCAAACTTTAAATAGTTTCCATATAAAAAGATATCTTTCTTACCCAAATTTAGGACTTCAAATGAAGATCATGAAGCTCACTAATTATTCCTGTGGCTTCTCTCCAGGCTTCACGATTGGTCAGGGTTTCATAAAATTCAAGGCCTTTAGAGTTAAATGCGAAGAAATTGAAGAAGCCTCTCCAACTGATTTTGAAGGAGTAAAACTTCTTACTGAAGATCTCTCTGTTTTCATTCCAATGCAGGAAGTTAAAATTATCGATTGATATTTTGATGAAGATTATGCACTTTTTGAAGGTTTATACCCGAAATTGGCAGAATTGGGTTTCAAGATTTCCCCTTCAGCATTAATGGATGCTGACGCTTATGAGAAGTTGCAACCCTTCCAGAAGACTCCCAAGGTTTGGGTTGATGTAGAAAGACCATATATTAGGAATGGGCCACATGTTCAAAGCAAAGATGCTCCATTTAAAGTTTTAGAGAAATTTAACTTACACCTGCTTGGTATTAGGAATTGGAAAATTAGTGATGAAGCTACACTATCTTTGCTGAATTCTCTTCTAGAGAAGACCAATATCGCTGATATTTATTTGAATATTGGAGCTTCTGAGATTAAGAATAAAGAAATTGAGCGTATGTTTAATGCTCTTTCTGCCTCATGTTTTAGAATTATCAACATAATGATTTATGAGGCTTCTTTAGACATTGTAAAGATATCTGAAAATTTTGCAGGGAAAAATATTGATAAAGATATTCAAATCCAATTTGTAAATGCTATTATTAAGCCTGAAATAAAGTTAGAACCAATTCCAAAATCTTCAAAAATTAATTTTGCAAGAATCAAATCAAGCATCTTTGGTAACTAAATTTTAATCATTCTTCTAGAGCAAATCAAAAGTAAACCTCTGAAGCCTAAAGTTCCAACTTTCATAGGTAGCAGGTTCTGAAAGCTACGAATCATTTTTGAGGATAATAGAGGTTTGGATAATTAAGAAGATGCATAAGTTGTAATGCTTTAATACAAGAGATATATAATTCATTGGATAACTTTCGTTGTCATAAACCTGAACTGTTCTTTAGTAAAGATTTAGTTCCGACTAATTCTAAGTCTATACGTGGTGGAGAAGTCGAACATCTATCAAATCTATCACCAACATAATCTTGATGACATTGCTAGTCTCATTCAAGATTTCTGTACTAAATAGAATCAGGAATTCTGCTTTGAGTCCCAAATCTTAAGAGCGTTCCAGGTAGACCGTTTAGGGGGTTTAATACCAAATAGTCGTTTCTCAAGTGCTCTAAAGTCTTCACCCAAACAAGGTGTGGCTTACAAGTTCCCTTCACCCATTGGTCGCCCGGATATTGCACTTTCCTACACTGATAGCACTAGTGTGAACAAGGAGTGTTATTTTTATTTAGTAAGAATTTAATCCGATAACTATTGGATAAACAGCTGTTTTTACATTGGCGCTCGGAGACGTTTAATTTTATTTCGTGCTTTTTTACCTTCTTAATAGTGGCCTCGGATAGAGCCCTGAAGGTCTGTGCTTGGGCTTCAGGTCAGCTTAGATACTCTAAGGAGCAGCTGTCACCGTGAGAAGGCCAAGGTGCTTAAGTTTAGAAGTAAATTTATGATTTGATATTGTAGGTGAGTGTCAAATCGCAAGGGAGCTTTTTTTTACAGTTATAACACGTGTTTTATGTGCCATTTTTTGCTAAAAGATAAGCTGAGAATGGTGTCATGAGGGGTAAATTTAAATAATGGCCCGAGGTTGCCTTCTTGTAGCTGGCATATTATTGATGTTTTATAATTATCTTCCTTCCGAAACAAGGAGAAAATTTGATAAATGTTATCACCCCATATTTAACAATTTTATTCTCTGGCTAACTTTTAGATCAAATTTAATTAAACAGGATTCTTCCGATATTTGTACACTATAATGCTCGAGCAAGCACTAAAAGATCGTATCTTGGGTTTAAATAATGACTAGTCCACCTTACCCTCTTGATTAAAGGTCTAATCGCATTCTAGAAACTACAACTTGTCTTCAAAGAACTGTAATTTCTGAGCTCAGAAAAACACTAATATTTAACTTTTTACTATAAAATTCTGATAAAAATAATTTACCAAAAATTCTAAATGTGTGCAATCTCGACTTATTCTCCGCTAAGTCTGAAAGAAGATGCACAGGTTCGAGACAGCTTTAGACTTGAGATTTCGTACTAAATTTGCTTCCCTAGCTAGGAGCAATCAGAATCTGTTAGAATTGGGTTTTGCTAAAAAATTTCTTAATTCATAAATACTTGCAAACTTATAATAATTTTGTTCCCAGGGTCTTGAGAAGGAGTACAAGCTCTTACCTGTACAGTACAGTTTCTGTGCTTAGTTTAGAGATGAAATCAAAGAAATTAAAAAATCCTTTAAATTTTATCATCAAAAGTCGATATGTAATCAAAGTGGTAATTTGGAAAATAGGCTTTAAACAGCACCATCTTTATTTATAGGAACAGAGAAGTCTAATAATGACCCTCTGCAACGACTGATTATCAGAAATGTACAGCATGAAGTCAAAATCCCTTTCCAACAATGGAAGGATTGCCCATTGTAACCCCCATCGATAGCTATTTTCCTTTTTTACATACCACCCTTAAAATCTGGCTCAAAAGACTCATCTCTACTAAATCTTAACCTAGCAGCTAATCTACCCAATTTATACCCCTAACCTGGGGCTGGACTAATGCTGATTCCCAATTAAGCATATTCACAAATTATTTTTATTAATTTCCAATATTAATTTCACCCCCTGGGGTTTTGGGGTTTTGGGGTTTTGGGG